TGGATCCAGCGACTCCAGGTGCCTAGCCCAGTTATCCTGGGCCAGTTCATTCAGAGCCGCCTTCACCCGTCTGTTAAGTACGTTTAAGTCATGTCCGTGTCCGGGGAGACGGGTGCGGGTGGCAAGCCGTTTCGCACGTCGTCTGTCACGTATTAAGTTTTTTATGTCATCGGGGTGGGTGCCCCGGGGGGGCTCTCTGTCGACGCGTCGGGCCGCGCGCTCAGCCTCTATCTCGAATTCCTCGTCTTCGTCGGGCAGCTGAGGCAGTCTACACTGCAGTTCATGGGTGGTTTCGATGACTGGGAGCGCCATGTTTCCTTGCATTACTGTTCGGAAACGCTCCCAGTCAGTGAACCTCCTCGTGAAGGTGCCTTCATATCTCTGTCTTCGCCCCAGATCCAGAAATATTGGATTGTGGGCGGAAGACCCTTCGTATTGGGTGGATATTTGGGCATTTAACGGTATAGATTTTAAGAGGGCAATGTCGATAACGTCGGGGCGTCCTACGGGTCCGTAATGTGTCGGTTCTGTCGGTCCGAGTATAGTCAAGTCGTCGTGTCTGTCTTGGTAATTCAGCAGGACGCGACCTCTTGTGGTCGTCGTCCCGCTGTGCCATATGGGGGACTTCGCGTTGAAGTCCCCGATGGCAATTGTCTGGGGCCAGGAAAGGATTTTGTCTAAGTCATTGTCAAGTAGTGGTAGTCTGGGTGGGTGGTAACAGGACACCACCGCAACGTCTCCATGCCGTAGCGATCTCACCGCTATCGTCACGGCCTCTGTGTTTTGAGTGCTACCATAACCATAAAATCCAACGCGACTGTTGTACTGTGTCTAGTTCAAACGCTGATCGTAACGCCTGAGCGATAATCTGCTCTCGTAGTCTGCTCGTCTGCCGATGGCGCTAGTAAATTGCAGAAAACGCTCTGAAAAATCACTTCTTTTCGTTGACTAGTCAGCTTCAGTGATAACTGCGGAACAGCGCAAAAGTAGCAAACAGTGAAATCAAATCACAACACATCTCTCGACTAGAAACCATAGAAAATTTAATATGTTAGAGACTGACGTCTGTTGTATATTGCCAAGTCATAGGAGAAGAAAAATATGAAATGAGGTTATGAAATTATTTACACAAAGATAGGAGAGATCATTGATTGTTTACAAACATTGTTTAGAACATTAAGAATTCGTAATCAGAAAAGAAATAAATATGCAACCAGAAAACTTGAAAGAAACATTTTGTAGATTGTGTCTAAATACTATAAGGGATACAAATTGCAAGATAAGAGATAACATAAGGGACTTTCTAGAAATTGTTTCGCCAGTTGTGGTAAGAGCAATTTATTAAAAATTGCAGTTATGTCTCTAATGTGGTTAATTTATACTTCAATTACCAATCTGTTGTAGAATTTGGCGGAAAAAGATAAAAATTTAATATGTGAAGTATGTTCCGTGAAATTATTTGGCGCATTTAATTTTAAGTCGATGTGTATGGATACCGAGAATATTATTTTTCCCTATATTAGCGCCAGTAAAGTGTCAGTGATTGACTTAAAAGAAGTTTATCTAAAGGAGAAAGCAAATACTGAGTTAAATGATATATTAGAAGATCAGAGAATTTGTCGATTATGTTTTCATTTGGTAACAAATGGATTCGTTTCACTTAATGAAGTGAACGTTGACATAATCAATATATATTTACCACAACTTGTAAGTATATTTTGAAGCACATCTCGTGAAAATGTTTGTATACATATTGAAATAGAGGTAAATTAAATTTTATATCCATATAATTAAATTTGTTTAGGAAATTTGAGCATATGAAACATACAATTTAAATGATGAATAGTAAATTTTTTTCATGGCCCATTTTCCATTGTTATCTTTTCTGTTTCTGTGAATTTTGTTTTTTTTTTTGATATTTAATAACACTTTTTGATGAAATAAAATATAGATTTTGCGAAAAAAAAATTGAATTTAAAAAAATAAAAATTTCTTTTAATTTTTGAATGAAAAAAAAAATTGCATTTGTTTGATTCTTGAACGTTTCTTAGGGATACTTTGAGCATAAAAAAAAACCGAAAATATTCATAGTCTATTCAATATTTGTAAAGTTATATCCACTTTAGGGAAAATACACAATTTTTCACTTTTGTTTGAATCAAGTTTCTTGCATCGAAAAGAATTTCCTTATCAAAAAATGGTAAGAACGCCTTATAGAAGATACTTTGAAGTTTTCAAAACTCTTCTTTGACTTTTTGTACCATCATTAGTTCCCATGTAATTATCAAAGCCGAAAAGGTAATTTTTGCTTTGAACGACGATAACTCAGGGACAAATCATCGTACAAAGCTCTTGATCAGCTCAAATTAAAGAGAGTGAATCAAACTTAAAGAGTTGACAGGTGGGATTGCCAAAAATTATTGAAGCTAGTGAACCTTTTGAAAGGGAAGCAAAAATATTGAGAATTTTTTTTCTCAGAGGAAAAAGCTCAAATTTTGATCGGGTTTAGAAACAGCTAAAATCCTTGTATTGTCAAGAAAATTATTGAAGTTGTAGTACTTTCCACCATTACATTGCTGAACAACTGTAGTCTCTAGAGTCATTCACATTGTATGCTTTACGCAATGCATGTGGAGAGCCACGTGGCCCCAGCGACTCCGAATACTGAAAACCGATTTTACAATTAGTATTAACGTCATTGTGATAGTATTTACAATAGTTTTTTAATAGTTAGTGTCAAAAATGGCTTACGTGTATAGTATCTTTGTGTTAGTTCATAGAAAACTGTATGTGACAGGTCCAGATGTGGTTACACGTCAGTGGACAAAATTTTGAACATTCAAATTTTTTATTAAGTAAAACCACAAATTAATTTCATTAATTAATAATAAAAATAGCAGTAAAAGCAGTTGATTATGCCGATATAAAGTAGGTGTTATAAAATTCTATTTATTTATTTCCTTGCGAAATTCTTTCAATTTTTTGTCTATTTTTTATTACACTTTGCCTTGGGTAAGGTCAGGTTTTACAGGGGACCAGTTTCCAGTGCCGTGCAGAAGTGTAATTTTAAATCATTTTCGAACTGCCCTTTTTGATTTTTTTTATAAAATTGTATTTGTAAGAGTCCCTTGTACATCCAATTTTTTTTCTTTTTTGGATAACTTCTGAATCACTGTATAAGTAAGTAAATTCATTCATATGATATATCAGGAATATATATACTTACTTATATTTATGACAATTTGGCAACAGTAAACTTAGATAAAGTTATGTTTCTTGCAACTTTTAATATTTTTTATGCACATTCTACAAATTGCCATTTATGCCATTTTTTTTCAACTGTCTGAAAAAGCAATAGATATTTCTCTAGAGGTTAACACTCTTATTTCTTTTATTGCAGAAAGTCAGTGCTACCAACGACCCTGTTATATGCGGACCATGTTTTGATTCACTGCATACACATGGAGATTTTTTAAAGGAATGCCTTGATGCTCGGAAAAAATACAAAAGTACTGATAATGAGTCTGTTATTAAATTTGAAGAGACTGAACTAAAACTGGAAGACGATCAGGATGGGCAGGAGGAATATAAAAGTATTGATAAAGATATTAAGCCAGAAGAAATTGAAATAAAGGGAGAGGAAGATGCTCAGGATGGGTAAGGAGATTTTTATCAAATGTTATTTCTACTCAGCGCCTAAGATCTGTGTAATAATTCTGCTGAAGAATGATCTATGCTATTTATTAAATATTGCAAATGAAATTCATTGTTGACGAGACTAGCTGTTTATTACATTATAGGTATAATTCAATGCCGACCTGGTTTTAATCTGCCGAGTAGCTATTTCCTCCAATATCATTAATTAAAAACTTTGTTTCGACTAATACAATACTGGTCTTGCTCTATGGTACCAGTAGCAGGTCACTCTCTATCAATAGGTACAAAGCAGTGCTTTATGGCAGTAAGCATAGAATAGTCGTGACAATCGGGAAAAGATTCACTTCACAGTTATATCTTCCCGACACTTAAATTTTCGATATTAAAATAAATTGCAATACCACTTAAATTTTGCTGTTTTTTTTGTAAAGTATTTCCTAAACATGATATTAAAAATTTTAAATTTGATAGAAATCTGTGATTTAACTGTTTTAGATTATTTTTAATCAAATTTTCAAAAGGCTTATTTTGATTTATGTTTATTTCATTAAAAACATTTTAAAATTTTTCAGTGATTCTTCTTCATATGACTTAAACGAGGAAATAATTGAAAACAAAAAATGGCATTTTTCAGAAGATACAGAAGATATAAAGAAAGAATATAAATATGAGACAGGAAGTAAGGAAATCTATGAAACGTCCATATTATTTTGCAAATTCCAACTACCCAAATGCAAAAAGTCTAGATTTAAGGAATCACACAATGATCCTTCAGACATCCCAATGTTCAAATGTGATTATTGCACTTTCAAAACTAAATATAAGACCGCTCTAAAACATCATCAGTTAAGTCATAAAGATCCTTCGGAAATTCAAGTGTACAAATGTGATCAGTGTAGTTATGAAAGTCATATGAAAAAGTATTTAAAAAAACATCAATTAATTCACAAAGATCTCTCAGAAGTGCAAATTTACAAGTGTGATATGTGTAGCTTTGAAACCAGACGTAACAGTGACCTGAGAAGACATCAGTTAATGCACAAAGATTCCATAGAAACTCAGGTTTTCAAGTGTGATCAGTGTAGTTATAAAAGTTATATTAAAAGGTATTTAAAAAAACATCAATTAATGCACAAAGATCCCTCAGAAATACAAATGTACAGGTGTGATACGTGTGGTTACGAAACTAGACGTAAAAGTTATCTGAAAATTCACCAGTCAACGCACAAAGACCCTTCTGAAATCCAAATGTACAAGTGTAAAAATCCTTCAGAAATTCAAATGTATAAGTGTTATACTTGTAGTTATGAGACCAAAAGCAATGATTGTCTGAACTGTGCACATCACATCTGTGCACATCAGTTAGTGCACAAAGATTCTACAGAGATGCAAGTGTACAAGTGCGATATGTGTAGTTATACAACTTATATTAAAAGCTATTTAAAAAAGCATGAATTAAAGCACAAAGATCCCTCAGAAATGCAAATGTATAGGTGCGATATGTGTAGTTTTGAAACTGTACGCAAGAGGTATCTAACAAAGCATCAGTTAAAGCACAAAAATCCCTCTGAAATCCAAATGTACAAGTGTGATACATGTAGTTACCAAGCTAAATATAAGACTAGTCTGACAGCACATCAGTTAGTGCACAAAGACTCCACAGAGATTCAAGTATACAAGTGTGATATGTGTAGTTATGAAACACATATTAAAAGCTATTTAAAAAGACATCAATTAAAGCACAAAGATCCTTCAGAAATGCAAACATACAAGTGCAATATGTGTAGTTACGAAACTGGACGTAAGAGGTATCTGACAAAGCATCAGTTAAGGCACAAAGACTCTTCTAAAATCCGAATATACAAGTGTGATACATGTGGTTATGAAGCTAAACATAAGGCTAGTCTAAAAGCACATCAGTTGTGGCACAAAGATTCTCCAGAGATCCAAGTATAAAAGTGTGTTCAGTGTAGTTATTAAACTCATTTTCAATGGCACTTTAAATTGCATCAAATAATACATAAAGATCACCAGAAATCCAAATGTACAAATGTAATACTTGTACATATGAAACTAAACATAAAAACCATCAGTTAATACACAAAGATCCTTGTGAAGTCGAAATTTACACTGTGTGATACTTGTAGTTTTGTAACTAAGTTTAGAGGAAGTCTAAAGTCACATCGATTAGTACATAAAGATTTGTCACAAATTGAAATGTATAAGTGTTATATTTGTAGTTATGAGACCAAATGTAAAGATTGTCTGAAAGTACATCAGTTAACGCACTAAGATTCCACAGAGATTCAAGTGTACAAGTGTGATATGTAGTTATAAAACTGGACATAAGAGATATCTGAAAAGGCATCAGTTAACTCACATAGACGCTTCTAAAATTCAAATGTACAAGTGTGATACTTATACATATGAAGCTAAATGTAAGACTAATCTAAAAGCACACCAGGTAGTGCACAAAAAAATACTATGTGTACACCAGATATCTTAAAAAGTATATTACATGGAAATACTAAAGATTCTTTTGTAGTACTATACCAAATGAGTTAGTGAGCGATGAAGTTATGTACAAAATATATGTTAAATAAATTTGGTTGTCATATTTGTTCAAATATACCTCAAAATACCTTCATACCTTAACACGCTATATATGTTTGGAAACTTATCAGTTGACTATATCGTAATAGCTTTGTTGTTAGAGAAATCCAACAGTCAGACGCATATGCAGTCCTCGAGTTACGTCGTTTCGAGTTGGGTCGAACAATACTTTAACACCAGTCCTCAATCAATGGTTTCGAGATACGTCATGAGCTATTTCACTTGTACGATCATCGGTGTTGCAAGCCTTTGGATATTTACAGAAAGCCATAAATGTTTTTAAGGAACATGATCCAAATTCTGAATGAAATTGTTAATAATAAAATTATTACTTCCTGTCAGTGTTATCGAGAAATGTATGACAACAAGAAAAAAGAAGCGAAACAATCTCGAATTCATACGTTTTTTAAACCAATGGTTTAGTTTTTATTATGGTTCTTTATATTTATTCATTTGTGCAATAAGTATGTACCAAATACACGGTTTGTTTTATAAATTAAGTATGATTATTTAATATTAATGTATTTTTTACATTATATGTTCTGATAGAACCTAACTCCTTCACATAAATAGAAAAGGATGAAAAAAATATATTGACTTGTGTCGTTTCGATTTGTCACTTATTTTGAGAACTGAACATGCCGTAAGTACGAGGACTGCCTGTATAGTGGTTACATAAGGTTCAAAATTAATTAATTCGAATCAAATGCGATTGTCCTTGACTGTTGGAAACTGATTCTAATGCACTAGGAAGTAGGCTAATATTTTTGTACCATACTAATGTAGGTACCAACAACCTCTGTCTCCTTTGGGAAGTTTTCTATACATTTCTCCTGAATTAAAAAAGTAATACTAAAGGTTACAAAGAAAAATTATCTAAATTTTTCATCGATACTTTGTAAATTTTATATTTTCAATATACATTGTGGCTTTTGCTACTAGTATTGTTATTGATTTTTGAAATATTTCATCGACTTTTAGCAAAATGTAAACCCTTTTCTGAATAATTAATACATGTACTTACATTTTCAATTATTGCTCCCCATTTTTATTTTGTATACTGCATAATTTTGTGCGGAGATAGCCGTTAGACCTACAATATACAGGATTCCAAATATTTTCCAATATTCTATTTACGTATTGTTAAAATAAAATTAATGTTCTTGACTTTAGTTTCTTTCCGATAAGTTAAGGTATCCTCCTCAAATCCAGCTATTTGCGGTATCAGCTACAGTTCGTAGCAATATACAGAATGTAACTGTACCGGAGGTCAGTTTTTTACGGTTCCCTAGAATGATAATCAGAAATTATTTTTCTTTAAACCCAAGACTGACTCGAGTTATACTTCATTTTGGACATTGGACACTACCCTGGAGTTAACCAGTGTGCTTATCAATGTTGCCAGTTGTTACCTTTTTAAATCAGTTGTATGAAAGTGACGGGGTGGCATTGCTTTTAAATAACTTTGTAATCTGATAGCACATCTGTTAATACACAAAGTTTCTGCATAGATCAAAATGTACAAGTGTGATACTTGTAACTATGAAATTAGATATAAGAACTGTGTAAAAAGACATCAGTTAACATCAGAAATTCAAGGGTGAATACAAACTGAATACAAGCATACTCTAAATAAGCATGAATTAACGTACAAAGGCTCTTCAAAAATCCAAATGTACAAGTGTGATATGTGTAGTTTTAAAACCAAAGGTAACTATCACTTGAGAGCACATCAGTCAGCCTACATAAATCAAGTGTACTACTGTGATAAGCATCTTAAAATAAGTGATAAGCTATATCTGTTGGTTCTCGAAATAAATATAAATCTTGACAGACTTATTTAGTTTAATATACTATTTAATAAACTTTTTTACAATTCACGATGTAGATTTTACAATACTACGAAATTTCCATTTATGCCGTTTAGGTAGGTATTAAAATAAATGCGTTCTTGATTTTTGTTTTTTTTTTCAATTATTTGTTCAATTATTTATTTATTATTAATTTATTACATTTATTATTTTCAGAATTTGTAGATGGTGTTTTATTAAGTTCGATTTTATAGTAAAATTCAAAGTAATGTTGAATGTGCCATTTAGTGGAGTATTTGTGTATAGTGCAAATGTATAACATGGAACACCCTGTATATTATACCATTTTTAAATTGTACGGTAAATACTGAACAATTTTGATATAACGTACTATATCTCTAAAATCAGTGGTTTTCGTAATAATGACGTTTGAAATGTCATATATGAAAAAAAACTGTTTAATCATAAAACATTATATAAATAATAATTGCTTTATAATAAATGTTCAATGCTTTGTCCATTTACTTCAACACGTTTTTGTAATCGAAGGATTGTTCCTGTTGAGCATTTTCAATTACCTCTGCTGGAATAAGCCTTATTTACTTGCATATGTTTCAGGTCATCGAGATTATTTGGTCTATTCATATAAACCTTAGATTTCAAATAACCCCATAAGAAGAAATCTAAAGGGGTTAAATCCGGTCACCTTGGTGGCCACTCAATAGGACCTCTGTGTATAATCCATTTATTAAGGAAAGTTAAGTCAAAAAATTGTCGAACTGCAATTGCCAAATGAAGGGGTGCCCCATCGTGTTGGAACCATATGTCATTATGAGGAATATCTGGATCTTGTGGATTAGGAAATACAACAGCTAAAGCAAGGATGAGTTCAAACTGAAGAAAGTCTAAGTACCGTTCTCCATTTAAATTTTCTTCAAAAAAATAAGGTCCAAGAATTTGGTTGAACTGACATCTCGTGTTGGTGTGGGAAAACATTGTCCATTATAGAAATTGTTGAACAGAAATCTGCAACTATTGCAACCACAGATCGAATCTATCTGTATTGCCAATCTTTCATTAGTAGAAGGTGATATAGAAAGTTTGAGGTTGTAGTTATAGTTTATATTTTGTTATGTGAGTTGCCGCTGTTTTTTTTATTCGTTTTTTATCCAAAATAAGTTTACCTGGTAGAAGCATACGCCAATGTTGTGCTCCAAATTGCAAAAGCATCTACTATAAGAATGTCTGTAACGTGTCCTATAGAAATAAAATTTTTTTCAGAATTACAACAGACAGAAAATTACTGTGGATAGAATCAGTTCGAAAATTATGTAAACCAGATTTTACTCTGACAAACACAGTTAATTTATTTTTGTGAAGACCATTTTGACTTAAAATGTTATAAAAATAGCAAATAGGAATAGTCTCAACAGAAGTGCTGTGCCCACATTATTTTTATAATCCACCACAAGTTCACCAATTAATTATAATAATATCACCTCGGATAGTATCCAATATTCAGCAAAACAGTTTGTTAACGTAACATTGCAGAATTTTCAGAGTACGAGCTGCCAAACTTCAATTTCGGATGATTTTTCACTTCCACCTTTTAAAAAACCGAAATACACATATTCAAAATTGCCATTTCCTATAAGCGCTAGTGCAAACACCAGTGCAGTTACTGCAATGCAAGTTGAATGAAACGGAATCAAATACTGGTTATGTAAGTACCTCACTTAATAACTCATTTTGTTAAAACCTCATGTCCTTTCGGTCAAATAATAAATAAAGAACATTTTTAAAAACTTTTAATATTAAGAGAATATCCCAACTTTCAAATAAACAAAAAATGTATTGTCTAGAATTTTGGCAAGTAACTGTGCAATATTATTTTACATAAAGACAAGCAAGTAATTATTTAAAAATTGCAGTTTTTAATGGTTTCTTTAAAAAAATTATAATAACAAGTCTCCATGCACATTTTTTTTATATGTACTTAAATATTTTCTAATTTATAACAGAATGTATTTGTATATTTGTCACACATTTAAAAATCATCGCTTTAACTTTTTCATTTAACATACTGATAAAGTGTTTCACAAGTAATAGGTCATTGAACAGCTGTTAATGATTCACCTTAATTTTAATTATCAACAACCATTAGCAGCTGTTTTGTTATTTATTATGAAATACTTTTCATTCTTAGTATATTTTGTTAATTTAAATTAACCGCTATTATGGTGCAGCGACATCTATTAAACAGTAGAATTAAAGGTTAGACTAAATAAAGACCTGTGAAAAGATCGTGCAAGTACGAGCGCCATCTCACGGTCATTATACAAAACACTGCCATCGTTAGATATATTTATGTATTGAAAACTGTAACACTAACTTGAACTAACTGAATAGAAAAGCAATGTTGGTATCAGAACCTATAGACTATAGAGTTCACTGAAAAAATTAAAATTATGATGATATTACATGTATTTCGTACCGAAGTTGAACAAACTGATTGCAATAGCCAATCATAATAGAGCATTTTTTAAATTCTTAATCGTTATTGGTTCTTTACCATAGACCACGTTCTTTACTGATTTCACTCACTTTGTTCAACACGAAAGAATACGTGTATTGAGGGTTAGGTCCCACAGGGGGTGTGTTCTGTGGATTAGGTTTTTTTTGCAATTTATTTCTTGTTTATGTTGTATTGTGATTAATTAACTAAAACTAAAATTTAACGAAACGCAAGAAGATAGTTATAATTGTTGAGTCGATCATCTGAATTGTCTTACTGCTTTTGCTTGTTTTACTTTTTAAAAGAACATGTCTAGGAAGTTCGTACGTTACTGTTGTGCACCAAACTGCAAGAATAAATATTTATATACCACAGATACTTGTTACAGAAAAAAAAGCTTTTTTAGAGTTACTGCAGAGAGGGAAATGATTTGGATAGAATCAGTTCGCAAATTATGTAAACCAGATTTCATCAACAAAAACTGTTTATTTTGTGAAGACCACTTTGAATTAAAATGTTTTAAAAATAGTAAGAAGAATAGCCTGAACAAAAATGCAGTACCAACAATATTTTGTGAATCAAATAGTATATCATCACACTTTGATTCTCTTAATAGTAACATTTACTTGAAAACTAGCCTAGAGTCAGTTAAACAGTTTGTTAGTGAAACATTAAAGAATGCCGAAATTAATAAATGCCAAACATCAATGTTAGATGATTTTTCAGAACCACCCTTTAAAAAACCAAAATACTCTTATTCCAAATTGCCATCTCTAAATACCACCCCGAGTACTAGTACTGTTATTGTTGACGACACCATGACGGATGAAGTATATTCAAATACTGGTTGTGTAAGTACTTAATTTGGTCAAAATTTCACCTGTAAGTTGAATACTAGACAAAAAAACCGCTTTTAAAATCTCGATGTAAAAAGAGTCTATCAACTTTCAGATGAAAAAAAAAAAGTTTTATTATTTAGACCGTAAACAAAAAATCTGATTTTAAAATTAAGAACAAAATTATTAAAGTGTAGAAATAATTTGTCCAATGTTTGTAATATCACTTATTTAAGGTTATTCACAGATTTATCTCAACGTCTCGATCCTATTGGAGTAAAATTTATTGAATCACAAATTACTAATTGCAAAAAGAAACGTCCTATATATAACTCAGAAAATAAAGCACTTGCTTTAGCTATTTATAAACGGGGCCGTACGTGTTATCGATTTTTACAAAAATTGTTTGTACTACCTTCTAACTCTTCCATAAGAAAATATTTAGGCCAAATACCTTTAGAAGTAAGAATCAATAAAAAACATTTATGTAAATTATCAGAACGTGTAAAGAAAATAAATTTAAGATATCGGGTTTNCCAGTAGCAGTGACCATTAAGATAGACACTTTGAAGTATATCTCACCCACACAAATTTTTTGATATAAAGTGTTGCAATACCAATTAATTTTTATTGTGTTTTGATAGCAGACATTTCGTAATCAGTAATATAGAAAATTTGAAATATGATTAGAAACATCTCATTTAACTGTTTTTTATTTTCTGTTATTCAGTTTCTCAAAACACTTATTTTAATTCCTGTTTATTTCATTGTGACCATTTTTAAATTTTTCAGTGTTCCTTCTTCGTATGACTTAGACGCTGAGACAATTGAAAGCAAGAAAAGACGCATTTCAGAAGATGTAGGAGTAATAAAAGAAGAATATAAATGTGAGACAGGATTTAACGAAAACTACGGAATGTTAATTGACAACAACCAACTACCCAAATACGAAAAGTCTTGACTTCGGAAATGGGAACCTTCGATAAATGCATAATTGTAGCACAAGCCAAATGTACAAATGTGATACATGTGGTTATTATGAAGCTAAACGTAAGACAAATGTGAAGGCACAATAGTTAGTGCACAAAGAAAAAAATACTAAGTGTACAAATGCACAATTGTAACAATGTGATAAGTGTAAACATGAAACTAAGCTTAAAGGGAATCCGAAGACGCATCAGTTAACACACAAGGACCCTTCTGAAATTGAAATGTAGAAGTGTGATACATGCACCAAGTGTACAAGTGTGGTCAGTGTAGTTATGAGACTCATTTTAAAGACTACTTAAAAATACATCAATTAATACTCAAAGATCCTTTAGAAATTCAAATGTACAAGTGTGATGTGTGTAGTTATAAAACTAAGCATAAGAGTTATTTGCATCAGTTAATGCATAAAGACCCTTCTAAAAGCCAAATGTACAAATGTGATACATGTGGTTATTATGAAGCTAAGCGTAAGACAAATGTGAAGGCACATCAGTTAGTGCATAAAGAAAAAAAATACTAAGTGTACAAATGTGATTGGTGTAGTTATAAAAACTCATTTTCTATTGGATCATTTAATAGATAAATATCCATCAGAAATCCAAATATACAAATGTGATACTAGTATATATGAAACTAAATATAAAAACAATCTAGATAAGCCTCAGTTAGTACACAAATATCTCTGTGAAGTTGAAATGTACATGTGTGATACGTGTAGTTTTGAAACTAAATTTAGGGAAATTCTCGATTAGTACATAAAGATTTCTGTAGTTGTGTAGTTATAAAACTAGAAATGAGAAGTATCTGAAAAGGCATCAATTAAAGCACAAAAATTCTTGAGAAATCCAAGGGTACAATTGAATGCAAATTGAATATATGAATAATCTAAAATAAGCATCAGTTAACACATAAAGACTCTTCAAAAATCCAAATGTACAACTGATATGGTCGTTATGAAACTAAAGATAACTCTCACCAAGAACATCAATTGCAGAAATCAAGTGTACAACTGTGATAGGCACCTGAAAATAAGCGACAAGCTAGCTGTTATAAAAACTATAAAAGAAAATTTATAAATTCTGCAGTTAATAAACAAAGATTCTTCAAATATTTCTGTGCTCAACAATAGATGCTTTGCAGGTAACCTCATACACAATCCAATTTCTTTGCTACATAATTTAAGCTCCTTTTATAATATAAAAATAAATCAAACATTTCTTTAACTTCATGAATTTGTTCAGTAAGAAATTCACGAAAATAAGAACATGTTTTAATTTGTGAAGTAGTTCAGAAGTACCAACCCAACAAATATTCAGCCTCAGATCACCATATGTAATTGTGTGGCATCGTACTACTTTTATATTGTTTGCACTGATCTGTTGCTTACAAAAACTAATATTTATAAACAGTGTCAAAACAGTACCGCTATTGTACCATTACGTATATGTGGATAGCTGACATTTTTTTTAATAAAATTTGAAATTTATTTGCTGCTTTGATTTGTTGGTAGTACCAATTTGTGTCAAAGAAATTGATGAAGTCTTTAGTAGTGTAAAACCAAACCCTTTATGAATTAATTCATGAAGAACATTACGGAATTTCCGTCCATGTTTAAAATAAAATAAATATGTTCTTGATTTTTGTTTCTTTACAATGTCCTAAGATGCCCTCTGGAATTCAGCTATTAGCGCTATTACCAGTCGCGTAGCTCGTGGGGTAGAGGTGGACACGACCTCCCACTCCCTAGTGAGCCTGGTGCCCTCCTCGGGTTTAAACAATCCAATAAAATCTATTTAGTCAGACTAGCCACCTGGCCCCTCAAGGCCCACCCCAAGCAAAAATCCTACCTACGCCCATGGCTATGACCAATGGCAGCTTGTAGCAATATACAGGGTGTAACTCTAACCGGGGGTTAATTTTTATCTAGAACGCTTAGAAATTATTTTTAAATCAAATACTGAGTCGAATTATATTTTGTTTACCAATGAAGCTGACGGAATATCGGGTGTACTTCTATCATTCGCCCCTTTCTCAAACGATAGTTAAGTAGTAAAAACAAATTTTTATTGAAACAAATACAAAGTCTCGAAATTATTTACCCTATTTACAAATACCTCTCATAAACTTAAAATAAATGTATTAAATAAATGGCCTCCACACGTAATGACTATAGTCATCGTCGTAGTCTTCAATTTCGATACCATTGTCTCTTTGTTCTATGCAAATATTATGAAGCACGCAACATGCTATTATTAATTTGGGTATAAATTCAGTGTTATAAATATTCACGTTTTAATATTCGAAATCGACCCTTTAACAAACCGAAACATTGTTCCTTGCAGCCGAATGTTTATAATTATTTTTTTGTACCCTACTCAAGTGACCATTAAGGAGTTAGTACGTAGTTAGTGCATTTGTACGCTGAATCTCCTAACTTCTAAGGGGGTTGTATTGATTTTTTTAGTCCCACTACAGTGCATACATAATTGAGAATAGATATTCTCTTAATTTTTTTTTATTAGTATTATTAATGATTATTGTGGTTAAATCTTCATCACTGTCGTCATCTAATACTTGCAACATCATAAGAACCAAAGCTCTTTTTCTACGGCTATTCATTTTATAAAAACAGTTATAGCAGTAAAGGTTAGGTACCACAGAAAATAGTGATGGGAGATTTCGAGTGAAAAATCGAGTGGTACTCGATTATTGAGATCACTCGAGATATCTCGAGATGTTTACTCCCACCACTCGAGTGATTATTACCCTACGGTTGCACCCCAAAATGTTAGTGCATACTACAAATAGTCACTGATTGCGTAACCTTTTTTTTTAGAATAAAATGAAAAAGTGGTTAGGTTTTGAAGTGCGTGAGCTTTTTTTTTTTTTTAACTAGGCCTATAAGTAATATATGACTAATACAAACATATTTGTGCGCCGCTGGGATGAAAATGACCAATATCTCGTATCTCGAGTGATCACTCGATTATTAGAAGTACTCGATTACCGATAACTCGATTATCAAAATTGGTCGACTATGCCCATCACTAAGTGAGGTTATGGAATGATTGTTTACAAAGACAAAAATGTCAGATCGTTGAATGTGATCAGAAAACAAATAAATATGCAGCCAACAAACTTGAAAGAAATATTTTGTAGATTGTGCCTAAATAGTATAAGGGATGCAAATTGCCAGATAATAAGAGAAAACATAAAGCATGCTCTAGGAATTGTTTTTCCAACTGTGGTAAGATCAAGTTATGTACTTTTATGTTTGTAGGTACCTAGTTGATTTATACTTTAATTACAAATTTGTTTCAGAATTTGGAGGAAAATGATAATCATTTTATATGTAAAGTATGTTACGAGAAATTATTTGCCGCTTTTAACTTTAAATCAATATGTATGGATACGGAGGACATTATTTTTCTTCATATTAATGCCAGTAAAGTATCAGTGGTGATTTAAAAGAAGTTTATATAAAAGAGAAGGGATATATTCAGTTAACTGATGTAGGGGAAAATCGGAGAATTTGTCGATTATGTTTTCAGTTCGTAACATATGGATCTGTATCACTAAATGAAGTGAATGTTGACATCTTGGATACATATATACCACAACTTGTAAGTATATTTTGCAGTAGTTACTTAGGAAAATGTATATACAGCGTGTTTTTGAATGGAGTAGCATAAATGATACCAGTGAATCTACATTTCAAAAGAACACGATCTTCAAAAAATCGCCTTAGTAAAATGTTCACCTCTGAAGAGATATGGGCCATCAAAGTTTCCAAAAAAATTATGAAAATTGGCTGTAATTTGAAAACCGAACGAGGTACAAATAACAAATTTTTTACAGGTTGTTTACTAATACAGATGCGAGTTTTCAACTATTTTTCGAAAATTTTAACCCTTCGAAAGGGGTTGAAATAACCACCCCTCAAACCATTTTTTGCCATAACTTTTATATTTCGTAAAAACTCGATATCCAAAAATACGCATTAGATAAACTGGTTCTTTTAGAAACTTTTATCTCTCTAGCAATTTTCCTTTAAAACTTTTCGTTTATTAATAAAAAAATAAAATGTATTACCATTCACCTCACACCGTACATGATTTCAATCAATCAAAGAAAAACTAAGTGTGCTGCTGTCATGCCAGTTGTCACAATTAACTCTTCTGTAAGTTGTCACTGTTATCAAATACTTTTTGGGTGTAAATTAACAAGAATTATGCCAAATTTTACTAATGATGAATATGTGGACATACTACAAGTGTTTTTTTCTAAGATTGTGCAAAATTTACTACTTATTGCACTACCTACTGTGCCAAAAGTTAAACTTTTTTTACAGTAGTACAAAAAAATATTGATTACAAGTTTAATCTAAGCATATCCATAAGTACCTAATGTCTGACATTGACAGTTTGCACAATTAATTTCCAGTTGTCAGTTAAAATATTAATATTATGTAAAATACTGTTAAATAAAATTTGAAATAAAAACAATCATAGAAAAAATGTTGCGTGCAACATGTGCAAAAAGCATATTCGTTGCACTTAACATGATTGCAGCTCTCAACTTTGTCTCGAGCTGCAAATTTCATGCATCGTACAACAAATACACACTCTTTACAATAGTTGCACAAATAACTTTGAATGTCGCAGAAACTTTTATTAAATAGAAGTACAATGAAAACTAAACTAAGAAATAATTTATTATCAAAAAGAGAAAAAACAAAAAACTTAGTTAAAGGACGTTTTCAAAATAATTGCCATTTCTTTCTAAACACAACCTAACACGTTTATCAAAGTTGTTACGGACTCGAGCAAAAATTATGGGATTGTTGCGAATCTCATCAGCCGCCGCGAATATTCTTTCCTGTAGCTCTTCAACACTGTCAACTGGGGTCGCATAAACAATACTTTTTATATGTCCCTTAAAGAAAAAATCCATAAGCGTTAGATCGGGAGAACGTGCAGGCCAAGAGATAGGTGCCTCATTGCCGTGACCTATCCAATGATTCGGGTAATTTAAATTAAGCCACCGCCTAACTACTACAGTGCTGTGAGCAGGAGCCCTGTCATCCATGTACTACATGGCCTGATGTACATTTAATGGTACTTCCTCCAGAAGTGGTAGTAGATGCTCATTTAAGAACTGCAAATATTCAACAGCACCAAGTCGATGAGCTAAAACAAAAGGGGCGACAAGCACATTTCCTACAATTCCTGCCCAAATGTTTAAACTAAAATTATGTTGAAATGTCATAGACACTTCGTGAGGATTTTCAGGAGCCGAGGAATGAAGATTGTGCATATTAGTTAAAAAATTCAAATTATTTCTTAGAATATTAAGATACGATTCGCAAAAAACCACTCGCTTATACATGTCTGGTTCAAGTAGAGCTTGAACTGGCCAGTGGTGAAAAGGATATAATAAATTATCATGGACAATATTCCAAACAACACTATGAGACACATTTAAGTGCATTGCTGTTTTTCTCGTACTAGTCTGACGATTTTCGTCAAACTCTTCAAGTACTGCATCCTCAAGATAAATAGTACGAACAGTAG